TTCTAATAGAACATCTTTATCATGGGTTGTAGTTACAAATGACTTGCCATTTTCTTTTCAAATGGTTTCTTTTATGGACTTGAATCACAAGAGACTCATTATTTTTACTCGAAAAATATCTCTATCGTGGACTATAGTCACAAATGACTCATCATTTTCTTTCTAAATGATTTTTTTATGGCTTGAGTCACAAGAGACTCACCATTTTTATTCGATAGAACATGTCTATCATGGGTCGTAGTCATAAATGATTCATCTTTTTCTCGTTAAATAATTTTTGTTATAGGCTTAAGTTACAAGAGATTTGCAATTACCATTTTAAATGGTTTTTGTCGTGGGCTATAGTCACAAGTGACTCGCTATTTTGATTTTCAAATAATTTTTTTATGAGCTTAAGTCACAAGTGACTTTTCACTTTCATTTTGACGTAACATCTCTATCATGGATTGTAGTCATCGAAACTTGCTACTTTTATTTTGACAAAACATCTTTATCATGAGTCGCAGATCACAAAAGACTCACCATCTTCTTTCCAAATGATTTCTTTTATGGGCTTGAGTCATAAAAGTCTCGTCATTTTTGATGTGATAGAACATTTCTATCATAGGCTACGATCACATGAGACTCGCCTTTTTTATTATGACATAACATTTTTGTTGTGGGCTGTAGTCATAAGTGACTCATCGTTTTCTTTTCAAATAATTTCTTTTATGGGCTTCGAGTCACAAGAGACTCACCATTTTTATTCCGATAGAACATCTCTATCATAGGTCATGCAATCATAAGTGACTTATCATTTTCTTTCTAACTCGATTTCTTTTATCGTTTGAGTCACAAGAGACTCATCAATTTTATTTTGATAAAGCATCTCTATCATAGGTTCGATCACACGTGACTCGCCATTTTTTGTTAGATAATTTATGTTGTAGGCTTAAGCCCCAAAATACTCATCATTTCTATTTCGGATGATCTCTATCATAGGTTGTAGTCACAAATGACTCATCATTTCCTTTTTAAATGATTTCTTTTATGGGCTTGAGTCACAAGAGACACATTACTTTTATTTTAATAGAACATCTTCGTTATGGTTTTATTCATAATTTGGTAAAATTTTGATGATATTAGATTTAAACCAAGCTTTAGCTATTATCTTTTTCAAGGTAATATTAAATACATACAACGTTTTACTTAAACCAATACATATTTTTTTCTATTTAATGTTAACATTGAATTTTAGTTTTACAAGCAATAACTATGCTCCAAATAAGACATAAAACTTCTTTAAATGTCATACAAAAAAGATGATTGTATTTTATCCTTGCAAGGGATAAAAGGCATTTTATAAACACAAAATTTTAGGACTAACCATATGAATAAAACATTCACTTCATGTGATCATAACAACTAAATAGGATGACAATTCCCATGGATAAATAAGATACACATATAAATTTTTATTGGTTGTTTTACATCATTTTTATAAAGGATATTATGTTAGGATTTTTAATTTGATCTATATTTTCAAATGATTCTAACCTTATAAGATTTATTTCACGGTCATTTATCATGATTTTAGGATGTAAATTTGAAAATTTCTTGAAGTATTATTATGATTTTTTAAATTTAAGATTTTGATCATTCACTAACTAAAAGTATCTCAACTCCTTATAGCTACTCCGAAATCCCGACCTCAAACAATCTTCTTCTATCTATTGTTGAATCTTAGACTCCTTCTCTTAAAAATAGTGTGGAACTAGACTTGACTCCTTTTATCACCCACCATGAAAACATTCATGACTAAATTGAGGTGATCTTAAAGTCGACTCTAGTCATTATGTGAATGGATGAGATTTACCTAAGTCTCAAATAGGGTCTTTTTCAACTCAAGAGAATTGAGGCCGACCAAGTATGATAGTGATAATTGTGACGACCATTGGTTACTTATCACAACGGTGACAATTTTCCGAAAGAGTTGAGATGGTATGAATGTTACTCGAGGCGAAGCTCATCATAACACCGAGCATTTCCTTCCTAAATCCTTATACAAGTGCATGCGATAAGATTTATGTAGTGAAGTAGGTGAGAGGATATTATTGCACATCCAATTCTAATGACTCGTTAAATTGAGTATGAAAACAAAAACTCGAATGTAATCAAAATGCATAAGCAATAACGCAAATAATTATACAACCACAAATATATTCACGTAATTACAAATAAGTAAGCAAACAAAAATAAGTCACGTAAACGTCAAAGAAGTAAGCATAAGCATTCATTTAGGTAATCACGATCATGAATTAGAAATACATGTGAAACTTAACTCTATGAATCCAAGTCACCATTCTATCTCCAAGTAGTCTATCGTGGGAAATGACAATCTTACAAATGTCATGGAAAAATAGATTAAAAAATGTGTCGCCATTAATTATCACTAAGAACCCACTTGATTGGTCTACTCAATATTCTAGAGTAAGGAGCTAGTAGCGAGTAGGAAAGATATAAGTCACCCTACCCTTATATCCTACTTAAGGTAGGTCGCATCGCGAGTGTTTTTAAGCTTAATTTTTCGTTTCTAATTCTATGAAAACCTATTCCTATTGATGTGTTTTCCATTATAATAATTATTAATCATTTGAGTGATTTAAAATTAGGTCGGTAGAAAGCCTTATCCTCACTCTAGTGGAGACATGAAGTTAGACTCAAGAAATATTTACTCAAACATCAAAGACTCAAGAGAAATCAAGATTGGAAATTATGCGAGTTTGAAATTCGCACTATCTTGAAAGTACTTGGAAAGAAACCGTTTTAAATCCTATAGACTTAGAATATCCAGATTTAAATATACATGAGCTCGAAAAAGTTGTAATGACTTGAGAAAAAATCAAGGAAAAATAGTTTTAAAAACTAACACAAACTTAGAAAAATTAAGGGTTCTAAATGTTTACGAATTTAGAAAACTAGCCCAAAAATCATTGATGGTAGGCCAATTTGTGGCTATTTTTCTACAACTTCTTTCTTCAATTTAAACCCAAAAGTCCTATTAAACCCTAGTTTTGTTGTCGCTTTACATCATTAAAAGGATTCCGAGTCATCTCGTTTATCAAAATCTCCATAAATCTTAACTCGAAACACCCTTATTATCGAAGCTGGCTAGCTCTGCTCTTTTTAGCACCTCTCCCAAACTTTCTATAATCAATCTAGCCCTCGAAATGGGATTGAAATGCAAAAAGGATGTCCAGCAATATTTGCAAATAACAAGCACTTAAAAAAACTACAAGAAACGAGAGAAAATCAAACTAAAACCTCCATACTCGCTCAACCTCACTACCACTCTTTTCAAATTAGACCCAACATCCAACTTCAAGGTTTTGTCTATGGAGTTTTTTTCTCTAAAATGCCCTAACCAATCGACCCAAACTCTACCCATAATGTTACTTTATGATTTTGGACCAACTTTACATATTTATTTGCTATAAAGAACGAGATATCTTTTTCTTTGTTTTTCAATGCCCGAGACTCTACCCATAATGTTAAATAGGGGTTTTTTTTTTTAAAAAATAACATTATGGAATTCTAAGAAAAAGCTGGAAAAAAAAAGTCTTAAGTATTTTTCCATGGTTAAGCAGGGGGTTTTCAATTGACAATATATATACACGTAAGAGTAGAACATCAATCATCAATAATTTTTTAATATATATTTTTTTTATTGTCACACCACAAGTCGATTTAAAAAGGAATAAATATGAATAGAAAAATCTTATAAAAAATACAAAAACAAAATAAATTAAAAAAGAAAATACTAAGATGCCTATAGATACACTAATAGATATGAGATTATTGATGAAAAAAAATCTAGCAGAAGGAAAATTTTAAAAAACAATGGCGTAAAAATTATTAGTGGCCACTTAAATAGGAAAGGATATTATCCATGAGAGAGGGAAGGAAAAACCCGAGGGAAATTGCAAATATAATTGAATTAATCTTTATTTATTTATTGAATACAATTGAATTAATCTTGGCATACTTACAGTAAGATAATGAATAATTAAACGGAATGTAGCCAACAAATAATGCAAATCCAATAATAAAATAAAAAGAAAACTTCAATCCAAATCCAAACGTGTTGAATTTTCAAATCCAAAGAAATAAGTAAAAAAAGAAAGATAAATAGATCAATTAATTTTTATTTAATTAGACAAGTTTTGTTTCAATATAATTGTATCTATCGTGTGTTTATAAAACATCCAATTCTCTAATATCTCCTTTCAATTTTTTTTTATTCAAATTGACATAATGATATTTTTATTTTAAAATTTCTTTTGAATTATATAAGAATATAATAGAATTTTTATTTTTCAAAATTGCTTAAGGTGTTTTAAGAAATAAAAAAGTTATAAAATTACTCAACTATTAAAATTTTTTTAAAACAAATATTTTAACATTTTGTTTTAAAAAACTCAAAATTATATTCTTGTATAACTCGGTGACAATTTGAGAGAAAAAAATCATATTTAAGTAAAAAAAAAAACTCAATTGATTAATTTATTAAAAAATTAAATATTATACATAAACATAAAAGATATAATAAAAAATAAATATAAATTAAAAACTTAAACAATTATACAAAGATAGATTCTGTCATTAAAAAAGAAAAAATCCGAACAATATCACGAATTTTATAAAAAACATTGCCATATGTTCCAAAAGATCCAATAAAAAATAAATCTTATAAACAATGGGAAAAAAATTCAAATAAAAAGGATGAATCAATAGCCAAGCCAAGCTGTTAGCTTTATTTCCACGCTGTCGTTCTGACTCTCAAGAAACGTGGAGGTGTTTCTCCACTACTCACTCACACTCTCACCTCCTTTAAAAATCACAAAGCCGCTTCTTTCTTTCCCTCTCCATTTTCGAACCAAAAGAAAAAAAAACGAAAGCAAGAAAGCCAAAATAATCTAAAGCAAAACACAAATCACACAGTCACCGCAAAAACGTACAAGATGTTCAAAATATTTGGAGGAAGAGAAACCACCGCCGACTCCTCACCGCAGTCATCCTACTCGCCGTCGTCTTCGTCTTCGAAGTCGCCGTCTCCTTCGGCTCCTCCGGTCACCGGACCGGCAAGGCCGATCCGACTTGTGTACTGCGATGAGAAAGGGAAGTTTCGGATGGATCCAGAAGCGGTGGCTACTCTTCAGCTTGTTAAGGAACCAATCGGTGTTGTTTCGGTTTGCGGTCGCGCTCGACAGGGAAAAAGCTTTATTTTAAATCAGGTTAGTGATGGTTCTGGTTAATTACTGTTGATTGGTTGGTGAAAGTTTGGGGTTTATAGGGTTTCTGATATTTCAGGGATTTAAGTTGAATGTAGTTAGGGTTTTTGTAGTGGAAAAGTTTGTAATTGCGAAATGCCGTATTTTTTCTGAATTGAAGCGATTAAGTGCATGAATTGTGTCATTGAAAGAGTATTTGAAGATAAATAATAGAAATGAAGTGCTTTTGACCTTATTGAGTAACTAGGTGTATAAAATGGAAATTTATGTATTTAGGGTTCTGTTCTTTCTTTTCCCCCTAATAATTGGGCTTTTCTTTTCAAAAGCAAGTTTTGTGGAACCTGCTAATTTATGTCTGTCTTGTTTACTTTGTTGGAATTTAGGGACTTTATAAACATTTATGAGTTCTGACATTTTGCATCAGATGTTATGCGTCAATTCTTTTACTTAAGAGGTGCACTTGGATTTTCTGTGTTGTAGCTTCTTGGCAGGAGTAGTGGATTTCAAGTAGCTTCCACTCATCGGCCATGTACAAAAGGACTTTGGTTGTGGAGTGCACCATTAAAGAGAACTGCTCTTGATGGAACTGAGTACAATCTCTTACTGTTGGATAGTGAAGGCATAGATGCTTATGATCAAACAGTAAGCCCATTTACTTTATAAGGATGAACTGATGATTGTCTTGTTGGTTGTACGTTTGAGCAGTTCAAGAACTGCTGGAGTGGCTTGTAATGAATTTCACTTGTAGCTTGTTGTCTGTGATTCCTTCTTGTTTAAAATTCTCACCATATCCTTTTTATTCTTCATTCCCATTCAACTGTTCTTTTGAATTATACGGTTATTGTTCAATTACTCCTATTCCTCTATTTTGTCACCATGATAACTTAATACATCATAAATAAATTTCGTCTTTTACAGGGGACATACAGCACTCAAATATTCTCTTTAGCTGTCCTACTATCTAGTATGTTCATTTACAATCAGGTAAGGGAAACATATGCTGAGGCCTTAGTCTTTTTTACTAACATTTCTTGTTTGTGTAGTTGATTTTTTTTTCAAACAATCCTTTTCATCATGTTATAATGCTATTCTGAATCTCACGATTAATCTTCACTGTTTACATTGCCTCCTCTCTCTCTTTGCGCTGGATTTTTATTCATTTGACTAGTTATGTTCTTCTATTTAGATGGGTGGCATAGATGAAGCAGCCCTCGATCGACTCTCTCTTGTCACGCAAATGACAAAACATATTCGTGTTAGAGCTTCGGGAGGAAGGACTTCAGCTTCTGAAATTGGGCAGTTCGCCCCAATCTTTGTTTGGCTTCTAAGGGTATTATTTTCTCATATTTAATTTCATATGGCATATTACTTCCTGTTTTGTTTTGGAACATTAACTTTTAATTTTACATAAAGCCCTTAAAATGGTTTGCATGATTACTGTGCAGGATTTCTATCTGGATTTAGTAGAGGATGATAGGAGAATAACACCCCGTGACTATCTAGAGCTTGCTTTAAGGCCAGTTCAGGGCAGTGGAAAAGATATAGCTGCTAAAAATGAGGTAAAATTTAATTCTTTCTAACTGCATGTTTTTCTTCGTAGCCAGATTCATTTGCAAAGGAGACTCCATTTTGTCAGATATTTGACGTTACTTTTTTAGATTATCTTTTTATAGGCTCATCTTCCCTGAGTTGTGAGGGTCTATGGAGCACTGCTTTTTTGTTTTTGGTTCCTTTTCACGTTAGGGAAGCTAATTATGCATTTTTAATGGTCATAGATTCGGGACTCTATCCGAGCTCTTTTTCCAGACAGAGAATGCTTCCCTCTTGTGCGCCCTTTGAACAATGAAAATGATCTCCAGCGTCTGGATCAAATATCGGTTAGTACCTTATGTTTGTTATGCATGCTTCTTCTTTTCTCTTTCATGCACATGTGCATGGATACATTCTTAAGTTACTGGTTCACTATGTTTACGTAAGCCCTTTGTTTCATATGCAGTTGAATAAACTTAGGCCTGAATTTAGAGCTGGGCTGGATGCGTTGACCAAATTTGTTTTTGAGAGAACAAGGCCCAAGCAAGTTGGCGCCACTGTAATGACAGGCCCAATCCTTGTTGGTATTACAGAATCTTACCTGGAGGCTCTCAATAATGGTGCAGTCCCAACAATATCTTCCTCATGGCAGGTATGCATCCTGAACCCTTTTATTATTTTTTTTTTCAAATCATGAAAAGTTAATATAGCATATGGCTGTTTGGATCCCTCTCTGAACATTGGCTTCATTCAATGAATGTAATCCACTAGAAACTTGTTCAAATCAGCATTGGGTACTTACCATAGTCCTCGTATAACTTTCAAAGATTCAATAAATTTCTTTAACCTACATGTGAAATTTTTGGGTATCAGTGTCAAGTTGGAAAATTGTTTTCTCAGAGAAAATGAAATTAGATTGAATTACTTATTCTACATGTCTGAAACTGATTTTCGATGAATCTGTCTACTCATGAATGGACCTGTATTACTTGAAAAGTGTGTAGCTTATTTTGTTAGCTAATCAATTCATATGATCTTGGATTACTAGTGATTCTCTGAAAGCATAAATTATTATTATGCCTGTGTTTCTGACTAGATCTAAGGCCACCAAGTTTCTCGTACTGAACACTGTCTCAAGATATGGGTGAGATTTAAGCTAATGTTTATGGGTAAATTAAATCCTATGTTCTAACAATGAACATTTAAAAACAGTTAATCCAAATAACCAGTTTATAAACCTCTCTTGAAGTTTGGCCAATTGACTCGAATTCAGGAAAACATTGGCACCAAAACCCAATGGTTTATATAATAGCATATTTAGTGATGTTTTAAACTATTCCGTCACTAAACTGGTGTGAAGAATTTGTTAATCTCTAGTTGAATTTGGCAATATATAAGCATTTACCTAAAGCCTACTGAATTTGCAAAGAAATCAAACTGCCATCTCTTCTTTCATGCTCCTTGCAGTTTATAGTCAGTTTCATTTCCTTTTAGTATTTTATGTCACATAAACAGATGCAAAAGTGACAGCTAAAGTGTTGGCTGTATGTGAAAGCATCACAATATGTAATTTTCTTAAGAGTAGGAGTCCAATAGGTCTTATTATTAGTCAACATTACTCCCTGTCTCATTTTTTTTATCCATCATTGAATTTCCAACTATTTATCAAAGCATCATGTATTGCTTTATCTTTTGTGCATAATCTCAGAACTTACCTTCTCTTGCAATCTGTAAAATACATATTATTTTGAAATAGTGTTGTAATTAATTAAATAATTGAGGGTAAGAGTGAAAAATCATAATGTTTCATTTACTTAATTTAGAAGTGGACAAACATTATGAGACATCCCTAAAAGGGAACATAGACAAACAAAATGAGATGGAGGGAGCATTATTGTGATGCAGTATAGGAACAAAAAAAGTTCACTTGTTTGTTTGTAATGTAGAATGTTTAGAATTTTTATTATTATTTAGATGGCTCTCTAGGATTTTGTTATTGTTATTATTAAAAGGTAATATTTTATTAGTATGTTTATTTCTTATTTAGTGTAGGTTACTAGGGTTTCTTGCTGTTAATATTAACACCATATCCTTTGTAGGAAAAAAGGGGTTAATGATGATGAATTAAAATGCATAATTGAGTACTATTTTTATTTATTTGTACCTCCTACAGCATGGTTTTCTTTCAAATTCTTCAGCTCTCTTTTATAGGGTTTTCCTTTTTCTAGCTCAATTTTTTCCCTCTCCAATGGGGAATTCTGCTTCTTCTATCTTTGCTATTGCCCTGTTCTACATCATATAGTTAACCAATAAGGCAACAATTTCTTTATGGTAAATGGGTCTAAGAACTTAAAAATTCAGGAATACTTGGGCCTCATATATGCTAAGGGCTTCTGTTTTTTCTTTGTTGTCATCGTCAAGCTGGAGTTGTGAATTGGAACAGGTAAAGGTCAATGGTTTTTGTTTGAACATGATTGGAATATGCTAAGACATAAATTCAATATGTGTTTTGAATTTGTGATAGTGCAATGTTAGTCAAACAACTGGGAAGAGAGACATCTTGGGTTTGACCCCCTCTCATATAGAAATAACCAAATTGTATTAGCAAAATAGATGCTGGTTCTACACTCAGAACTGCCATCATGCTTGAATTAAGGAGATTCACTCCCTTTAGTGGATTTTGTGATCAAGTTATTTCCTACTTATTTATTCGTTTTAATAATGTTGTACATAAATATACGTGATTTAAAGTCATTATTACAAACTAATATAAAATGGACAAATGGGATAAACAATAATTTCTACTCTTAAAAAGCTCTTGAAAGAAGTTTCAAAAAGCAGTAGATGCTATCATAATTTTTTTATATTTTCGTCATCTCTAATATGTTGTGTTTCAGAGCGTTGAAGAAGCTGAGTGTAGGCGAGCATATGACACTGCCACAGAAATTTATATGTCGAGTTTTGACCGTTCGAAGCCAGCTGAGGAAGTAAGTGATGCTCATCTCCTACTTATTTGATGATCTCTATCATTTTCTAAGTTTTGCAACTGTAGGCTGTTTTGAGAGAATCACATGAAGAAGCGGTTCAAAAGTCACTGGCTGCATTTAATGCTGCTGCTGTGGGCATTGGTTCAGCAAGGAAGAAATACGAAGGGCTTCTCCAGAAATTTTTAAGAAGAGCATTTGAGGTAATGAATATATATAATACTATCATGAAACATTTAAGCTATCCTTGTTGATGGGTTATTGTATTTAGCCTTTTGCTTTAAAGATGCTCTAGTGCTTGTAAACCGGAAAGCATAGAGTAGATGAACAAAAAAATGTTGGAAAGTTTTGCAAAACTACACTGAAAGGACACAGAAACCAATTGATTCAAGTGACATCAACTTAGGCAACATGCTGGATTACTCAAAGACATGCGGTTTAGGCCTTGAGGTGTGATGATTAAATGGAAAACTTAATATTGTTGGAAGATTTATATCATACGAGGAAATATTTACTGATGACATGATAACTTTTAATGAGGTTTTGTTGCTTTTCTTTTTCTGTTTAAATAATCTAAAGTGTTTTTATCATTACAAAAAATATGTTATGTAAACTCTTAGCTTGTCCTAATTGAACATCCATTTATAGTAGATATTTTTGTTCTTATCTCTTGCCCTTTAGGTGGATATAATCTTCATTTTAGTGTTGATATTTATGCATTTGAATGGTTGGTGGTTTGTTTTTGCAACCTCTCAAAGAATGAGGAAAGCTTACAGTTTTAAAATGTGCATAGCCAATTTTGTTACCTTGTTTAAGTACTTTGGAGGTAATACATACAGACATCTGTTCCATTAAAAAGCTGAAGCAAGCCAACAAATATGGGACATCTATGCAGATGCCTATTTGGCCACTTACAAAAAAAGGGCCATACTGCTAGCAGAACTAGCTTTAGCACTCTATTAAGACATTAAGCTTCTCTTTGTGTGCTTATTTTCCAAGCATGTGTACTTCCTGTACAATGATGAGGGAATTACAAGGACAAGGGAGAATAAAATCTCAAATCTGAACCTTTTAGCCCTAAGTTATTAAGGAACTACTTACAAAAACCTTGTAAATATTGCATCGTCCAACATTGCTTCAGGGTTCCATGCAGCAAAGACACCTAACAAGCCAAAACATTCATCACATAGAAAATAGCAATTGAACTTTTTTCCCCTTTGCATGTGGGCTAAGGTTTGGACAATTCCTGGTGTTTTGCTGGGTTTTATCTAATTGATAGCAGGTAAAATGGTAAAACTTATGCAGACCATGGAAACATGGTTGCTGAGCTACAAGAAGTTGTGATATAACTTTTCTTTTGGTTAAAACAGAAGGTAGATTCTTTTCCATAAAAAAAGGGGTAGATTTTGTATAGGATTACTTTTTCGGTATATATACGTATATGGATTAAATATGGCTTCTGATGCAGGATTACAAGAGGAATGCCTTTATGGAGGCAGACTTGAGATGTTCAAATGCTATACAGAGCATGGAAAAGAAACTGAGAGTAGCTTGTCATACTTCTGATGCCAATGTAGATAACGTTGTGAAAGTAAGCATTTTTTTTTAGTTGTCTTATCGATTATGAACTAAGAGAAGGCGTATCAAAGTTTTGTTTCTTGACTTCTATGCTTCTCCCTGTCTCTCATTATAAGTTACTGGTAATATGTTTGAGTTTGTTATTTGTCTCAAATTAAAATTTTTTTCTGGAAAGTGGACATCATTTGTTAAATTAGAGAATAAAACTGGTTTTAATCAGTTTCAATGGGTCAATACAAGGTCTGGGTTAGCACAGGAAGCCTCTTCATATGTTCTTTCCCCTATCAACTTTTCTGAAATTTCTGGAACTCTTATAGCTGTAAATGAGTATGGATACAGTGTAGGTTTCTCAACTCATGCCAGCACTCTTTGGGAAACATATTTGAGATGGAGTGCTTTTCTTCAAATGAATTGGTTTCATGGAATTGTACTTTCTGATATATTAAGATGTTGCTGAAGAACTGTCAATCTGGAGTAGCTGGAGGCGAAAAAAATAGGAATTTTGGCACGCATTTGTGTTATTATTGTGATATTCAATGATAAATCTGCCAAAGAACCCAAGCTAGATGAGCTATGTTCAACTCTTGTTTGAGCTGTCATTAGCACCTGTAAATGTGTTTGTCGTCAAAGAAAAGCAATTTAGTTATGTTTGTGCCCCCAATTATGTATGGAAAAAATAAGATATTGCCTATGGGATGAGGTGAGCTGCATTCCCTTGCCTGAGGGGCTTTGTTACTCATGCACTTAAAATGATGTTCCATACTCTTCTTATGTGGTTTATGGCATTGTATTGTGATTGAACCAGTTTGTGAATGCCATGCAGGTGCTTGATGGCCTTCTATCTGAATATGAGACATCGTGTCATGGCCCAGGGAAATGGCAGAAATTAGCAATGTTCCTTCAACAAAGGTCTGTACCTCTCCTTTTTTATTGTTATTCAGGTTTTCACACTTTTTTATTGGAAAAAAAAAAAAAAAAAAAACCTTTTTTAATCCTCAGTTTGGAAGGTCCAATACTTGACCTTGCAAAGCGGCTTAATGATAAAATTGGATCTGAGAAGAGTTCTCTTATGCTGAGATGTCGCTTAATGGAGGATAAAGTGGCATTACTTCACAAGCAATTAGAAGCTAGTGAGAAAGACAAGTCTGAATATATGAAGCGTTATGATGAAGCAATTAATGAAAAGAAGAAGCTTGCTGATGACTATATGAGGCGCATGAACGATATACAAAGTAATCGCAGCTCATTGGATGAGAGGTGTTCAAACTTAGTGAAAGCATTGGAATCTGCCAAGCAAGAAACATCCAACTGGAAAAGAAAACACGATCAAGCTTTATCAAAGCAGAAAGCTGATGAAGAGCAGGCAGCTTCAGAGATTGCAATCCTCAAGTCTCGGAGCAGTGCTGCTGAAGCAAGGTTGGCTGCTGCTCATGAACAGTCTAGATCAGCTGAAGAAGAGGCAGCAGAGTGGAAACGGAAGTATGACATTGCTGTAAGAGAGACTAAAGCTGCTTTAGAGAAGGCGGCAAATGTGCAAGAAAGAACCAATAAAGAGACACAACTGAGGGAAGATGCACTGCGGGAAGAATTTTCTGGCCATTTGGTTGGGAAGGTAATTGTTTGTGACGCATGCATTTGTGCTTGTGTATACTAAAGCCCATTCTAGTTTCTTTTATTTCAATGAATGAATATGACCAGAAGAAAAGTTATGATTTATATATTGACGGACATGCAGGAAAATGAAATAAAGGAGAAGAATAGGAAGATTGAGTATGCCGAGCAGTGTTTGACAACCTTAAACTTGGAGCTAAAGGTATGCTTCATGGAGCCTCTGATTGTGAGAAAAAACCATTATATTTCCTCTCTCTCTCTCTCCCCATTAAATATTAATGTTTGCATGCACTTACGGTGAAATTAAACATCAACTAAAACCTTATGGTGGTCTCTAGTTTGCACATGCACAGATGATAATTTAATTGTAAGATGTCCTTTGCAGGCTGCTGAGTCAAAAATGAAGAGTTATGATACTGAAATATCATCCCTGAAGCTTGAAATCAAAGAGTTGGTTGAGAAATTGGAGACTGCAAATGCCAAGGCCCAATCTTATGAGAAAGAAGCTAGGATTCTGGAACAAGAGAAGATCCATCTGGAGCAAAGGTACCGATCTGAGTTTGAGAGGTTTGCAGAAGTCCAGGAAAGGTGTAATTTTGCTGAAAAAGAATGTAAGAGGGCTACGGAATTAGCTGATAAAGCAAGGGCTGATGCAGTATCAGCTCAAAAGGAAAAAAATGAGTTTCAGAAATTGGCAATGGAAAGATTAGCTCAGATTGAGAGGGCTGAGAGGCATATTGAAAATTTGGATAGACACAAAAATGATTTGGCAGGTGAACTTGAAAGAGTTCGTGTGTTGGAGATGGATGCTGTCTCAAAAGTTGCATTACTAGAGGTTAGAGTTGAAGAAAGGGAGAAAGAAATAGAGTCCCTTTTGAAATCAAACAATGAGGAGAGGGCTAGTACAGTAAAAGCACTTCAAGATCTTCTGGAAGATGAACGTAAAGCCCACAGTGTTGCAAATAAAAGAGCTGAAGATTTCTCTCTTCAGTTGGAAGTGGCACGGGCTAAACTGGATGCCCTTCAACAGGAATTTACTTCAGTTCGTCTGAATGAATCGGCATTGGATGGTAAGCTTAAGGCTGCTTCCCGTGGCAAACGTTTTAGAACAGATGATGTTGAAATGGGTGTAGGATCTGTTCAAGACATGGGCACAAATGACAGAAGAGTAAATAAGAGGTCCAGGAGTACGACCAGCCCTGAAATGGTTACACAGCCAGAAGATGGTGGTTCAGTGTTCAAGGGCGATGATGATAATCAGAGCCAGCAAACAGATCAGGAGGATTATACAAAGTTTACTGTCCAAAAGCTAAAGCAGGAACTCACTAAACATAATTTTGGTGCTGAGCTTCTTCAGTTACGAAATCCCAACAAGAAAGACATACTTGCATTATATGAGAAATTTGTTCTCCAGAAGGCTTGAGAGTTCCATTATCAACATGTATAGAGATGGCTTCTGTAGCCTACTGGGAGTGTTAGCTAATAGATCAGTGTGAGAATAGAGGTGTTTTAAGTTCTAAATGGGTTGATTATCTGTAGATTCTCCTAGTATTAGTACCAATTACCAAGTATGAAAAATCATTTCGGTGTAACGAATAGGGCTTGTTCATTCTGCATTGAGGGTGAGGTTTTTTCTTCTTTTTTTCTTGGTCTTTTTAATCTAATCCCCTGTAAGAAATATTTATTTGAGTTTGCTTATGGTGGGCCTACCTGATTGTGATACCGTAGTTGGGGTTACCGGAGCGCTTGCATGTAACCCCTGCTCACTGTTTACTCTAGGATCATAGAAGATTTTCGAGTGAATTTCATTATGGTTTCAGTCTAATTTTGATATTTTCAATGTACATGTGTGCTTAAATTAAACTTCTGTTCCAAGGCAAGAAATTTGCCCTGTTGGAGATGAGTTCACTCCCTTTTTATTTATTTATTTTTTAGGCTAAAAATAATTTGATTGGGTCAAAATTTCCTTGTCCTTGATTTATATTGTCTAGTGGACTGGATACAAAATAGGTACTCTGCCTAGCTTGTTTATTAATTATCTTTTTAAAATACTTCAATGGGTAAGGAGTTAAATATGGATAAAATAGCTTTAATGGGTAAGGAGCTAAATATGAATAAAATAGTATTACTTAAATTAATGGATAATTTATTTATGAATATGCGTATTTTATTTTTATTTATTGATATTTATTATTTATCCATTAACATAAATGATGGAACATCCAATTCAATTCATATAATATCATGGTCATATTTTAAGTGCTTTTTTATATTATAAGGAGCCATGGTTGGATGTTCTCAAACATTCGTCTATGACTGAAAACAAAAATGTGAGGCTCATTTCATCCCATTTAATGGAATATATTTTCTTTTCTCATTAATTTTACTTTTCATTGGAAACCGAGAGAGTATGTCTATTTTTTGACATTTCAAAATGTTTTTCCAAATTATAAAGAAGAAAATGTTTTCAAATTACCGAAGTTTTTCGTTAAAAAAAAACCGCAAATTACTAAGCAGTCATTTGATATCATATTAAGTTTTTTTTTTAAGTTTTTCAAAAAAGTTAGAAGAATAAATTATATATTAGTTCTTTTTTTTTTTTTAAGATAAACGAATTAATTAGTATTTTTTAAAAAATAATAATAATTTATTCCATAACTTAGTTTTTTTTATCAGTTTTTCATTAATGATTTTTGTTCTCAAATTGTTAAAGAAAAAAATATATAAATTACTAAATAGTCATCTGATATAATTAGCGGTTTTTTTTCCTCAAAAAAGTTAGAAGCAACAACTTATTCTCAAATATATATATATATAAAGAATCTAGACAAAAAAAAAAGTAAAAGAAAATTGAAAAAAAAGTCTTCAACTTAAAGGAAAAAAATTAGAATATGATATAATATATATAGACTAGATAAAGAAATGAACAAATTATTCTTAGAGGATAATAAATATAATATTTTTTAGTGAATAAAGTATGAGATTAGTTTAACGAGCCGAATATCCAACACATTGCCATCCTTTATTGTATTTAGGTGGGGTCTTGAACAATTTGTGTTTGGTATCTTTGGTGTTCAAGCGCCACTTGGAATTTCAATCTCTGTTGCTCTCTAACGTGAAGGGACCAGGAAGTTTTTTTTTTTTTTCTTTTTTAACTCAGAGATCCAAAGTAGTAGAATTAGAATTTGAATATAAGCAAAGAGGTCTTTGTAAATGAGCTCGAAGCTCATTGGTAAGGGACAACGAAGTTGTATCCCTTTTCTCAGCTGAAAATTCTCTGGGGTTCGCCCTAATGGATGCCTTGCGAGTTAGTAGCAATTTATTAGGCATTCTTAGCTAACGGCCTAGAATTCTGTAATTGGGTGTAAATTGCTATGGTGCCAATTCATATGATAATCCAATGACTACAGCTTGATATGATATCTGAATTTTTATACATGCATGCTAACATCCCGTTCAGTTTCATGTAACAATAATATTGAAAGAACCGGCAACTATATGGTGATCACTCATTTGATTATTCAAGTTCAAGCACGCGTTATGTCTGATCTAGTTAAAGCATTTCAAACAGCAAAAAAAAAAAAAAAAAAAGAATCAAGTTAAAACTAATTATTCTAATTGCCTATATATTTCTATGTGCGTGTGCATACACGAACGGCGACAAGAAATGATCTAGTCAAGTACTTGTCATATACATATATATAATACTATACGTGACTGATCCTATCCTTTTTCACTTTTCATTTTAAAATAGAGATTAGTTAATGCTTAAGCTGCTATGAGAATAGTAAAGAACGTTTTAATTGTGCAATCTCTCTAATACGGATGGAAACCGTAGAACACCACAAAAAAAAGTGTAGTGATTATTGAAATGATATATTAAAATAAAAAATAATTATAACACTTTAAACAAATTACTTATCGACTATTAACGACGAAACCTACTCGTCGAATATCAAAGCCTCGGAAGCTCCCTGGATCAAAAGATACATCAACGAATGAGGGACCTCTCGTTGGTGACCGAGCGAACAGTCTGTGGAGGGAGACGTTGGAGCTGGTGCGAAGTGTTGGTTTCGAGGGAGGAATAAGATGAACATCCCACGTCGTGGGACCTAAATAGAGCGTCCGAAGAGGGAGATCCACATCCGATATTGAATGGGGAACCATGTCTGCCGTTGTATGTCGAGGATGCACATCCAAGACTACTAGATCATGATACTTGAGTGGGTGTGAGAGATCCGCGCAAACCACGCATCATAAGTAAATAATATCACATAAGACAATTAAAAAAATACAATAAATATATTATCAATTGTGAGCATAAAAAAAAAAAAATTAAGAGAGTCTCCTCCGAAAATTGGGCTTTTTTCTAATTACCTAATATGCAATCCGCTTAAAACAAAACACAATCAAAATACATTAACTAATATTTTGAAAATGTATCAAAGTAAATATGATATATTGTAACGAATAAAATAACAAAAAATACATCATTTCTTACTAATATAACAAATAAAATGTATATTTAATTACAACCATCGTAATCACTATTTAAGATTTTATCTCCCTCATCCGACACGGATTCATATCCATTCTCATCTTCTTCGTAAGCCTCAACTAATTCTATATCTACAAACGATCTATTTAGATCATTTAACAATAAATTATCCCTAACTTTCTATATCAAATCATGTCGGATTTATAAATTGTCCTGCTGAAATGATTTAGTATTTTGTTAGATTGTAATGGATGATTCGGACAAATCACATACAAACCTAGCTTTGATATTACAAATAGCCTATCAATCCCGATTATCCCACCTCATGTTAGGGTACTCGGCATAATACACATAAGTCGACTGTGATGTCAAGATAAAGGATTTGTAATTCCTCAAGCTTCTTTTATAGTTAACATCAACTAGTCTATACTGCAGATGAATTCTTATTCCTTGTGGTGTAAGATTGAACCAATTGCATTTGAACAACAATATTCTTTTGATTGGTAATGTAAGATACTTTACTTGTAAAATTTTTGTCAATATCCCATAATAGTCATTTTTAGTTGCACTTGTAATTGGTTTCTTTAATCCACACACCATTATTGAAACTTGTTGTTTCTAAACCTTCATTTAGTGTGCAAAACCTATACTCATTAACAATATAATCTAGGTACGACCCGACAATAAGAAAAGAGCCTTATGCAAATCTTTTATGAACTAGTCCGTCATGGAAAGTGCTTGTGCATATTGACTAAACCGGAAGGCAAACTCGGTTTCAAGCGAGCATCAACATCATTTTTAGGCATGAAGGAATTGTTCGTCGTACTTCGATAATGAATCCACTAACGAGGAATAACAACATATGAGAGTCGGTATGTCTATCATGATTGCTAATATTATGATAGGTAAGTAAAGATGTATAATTTTGATGTGCAAGTTTGACAAACTTATTCAATGTAAGGTATTACTTCTTCATAATTCAATAATATATATTGACATGCTACTTTATGCTCTTTTTTTTTCAACATCCGTCTTATGTGTTGACTAATTGATCGGCCTTATTATTTGAATATGGATAGAATCCCTTCAATGTGGTCACTCACTTCTCCACCACACTAATTGTTACATGATACTTTTCGATGCTTAGTTTGCGGATTAGGCTCAAAATAATACGAACAAAACAAAGAAGCTTTTTTGACCAAATATGCATTGCACATTTACCTTTCCATTTTATTCTTATTCTTGAATTTATTTTTTAGCTTTCAAAGGTACCTACAATATAAATTAATTTAATATTCAATAATTATAAGTTCATTCAATTTAACATTAAAATTCAATATCATTGCTTTTAAAATGGATACATTCATCAATATTGCACGAGTTTCACAATAGAAGCCTCATATGCCAAGTGGATTGGAAGATGTTCCATGGAGTCAAAAAAACTTAAAGGGAATATACATTCTAGTTTGCGTAAAATGATAGGTATCTCAACATGAAGTCACAACATATCTTCTTCCTTTATCACAATAGAAGTTAATTGCTTGAAGAATAAACTCAATTCGATAAGTTCTTATCAAAATTAACACATCTAGCTAGATTGGACAAATATCCGTCGGAAAACGTAAGTTGTATGATCCATTCAAGCAATTTTATTTTCTACTATTTGGAAAGGGTAAAAGCGAGCTTTAGGTTACTTTTTAGAGGCATCACCTTGTGCTAATTTTGGCCTATTATATAAACGTTTTAAGTCTTCTTTGGAATTGGTATTGTTTTTAGGCTTACTAAACATATTCATGATTGTTTTAAAAACATTATCGAACATATTTTTCTTAATATGCATGATATCTAAATTACGTCGAATGAGATTTGTACTCCAATAAGAAAAATCTAAAAAAATACTTCATTCTTCCATCCACACATCTAAG